TTTGCAGTGCTCTCTTGCCACTTGGTAGCTTTGTCAACTCCCAAATCTGATTCAATTCAAGTGAATGCATTTCATTATCCATAACTTACTCCCATTTCTTTGGATCATGAACTTGAAAGGACTCATCATAACACTATGGTTCACCACTATCTGTTAGTAATAAATAGTATAAGGAAGGAGAATACCTTTATACTAGTCTTGAGATTCTGGTGGATCTCCTAATTTCAGTAGAACATGTATGAGGTACTCTCTATGCTTCATTAGCTTTGCCTTCTTGATCATTATCATCCACTATTTCAACATATTTGAAAGAATCTTCATGAGTCCCATTTCTAGTCTTGTATATTTTATTTTCATTAAATTTGACATCCATGCTCTTGATAAAATTTTTATTTTGATAATCCCAAAATTTATAACCAAATTATCTAATTCATATCCAATAAATGCACAATTGATAGATTTTGGATTAAGCTTACTCCTATATCCTACGTCAATATAAACATAGGATGGACAACTAAAAAAGTTGAGGTGAGATAAATTTACCTCCTTTCCACTCTAGGCTTCCTGAGATAACCCCTCATTCAGAGGGACTGAAGGACCTTACTTGATCAAATAAACTATAATATTCATTGCCTCTGCCCAGAACTACTTGGGTAGACTTGTATGCAACCTCATGCTCCTAGCATGCTTAGTGATAATTCTATTCATGTGCTATACAACACCATTTTGCTGTGATGTTCTTAGAATAGTGAACTCATGCTTGATCTCATTCAAAACATAATACTCCTTGAACTCCTTATTACGATAATCACCACCATTACCTGATTTGAGATACTTGAGATTCAAACCTGTCTCAAGCTCAACAATGTCCTTCCACTTTTTAAAAATATCAAACACATATGACTTGTGTTTTAAGAAGTACACCTGTTCATTTTTGTTGTAACAATTAATAAAAATAAAAAATATAAATATCCTCTTATAAAAGTAACTGGAGCAGGACCCCATACATCAGTATGCACTAACTCCAACTTTTTTTGATTTAACCTTTAAACTAGTATATGAAAAACTAACCCTATGTTGCTTGCTATATATTCAGTTTTCACAAAAATCTAAATTTATAAATTTAAATCAGAAAACCTTCCTCTAGTAAGAAGTGAATGCATATCTTTCTTACTCATATGGACAAGCCTTCAATGCCAAAGACCTTCATCAGCATCTGAATCAGCTACTCTAATATAATATAATATTTTGTTAATAACATATAAGGTGCTTACAATACTACCACAAACTATAACCACAGTTTCTTTTGTTACCTTCCATGAATCTCTTGTGAGTGATGCCACATGACCTGAGTTTGCAAGCTGACTTACAGAAACTGAACTCTTCATTTGGGACAACTTTTTTTACTGCTTCCTAAAGTAGCTTTCTATTATAAAAATTTCTATTTATATTTTTTTTTTAATTTAAAAATTACTTTCGAAAGTAATAAAAAAGCTATCCAAAACAAAGCATAAATTTCTCTTTTGTAGTGAATATTTGATCTTAACACATTACATAATTAAATTGCTTAATTTCATTAAGAAATTCACTTTTTAATAGTTTTTATCCATTAAGAAGTCTATTATACATTGAAGACCATTACATTTTTAATGTTCATGCTCTATAATTAAAAAATATCAAATGACTTCCATGTTAATATTAGCATTAATAAATCCTATTTAATTAAGATTGGGTCTTATGCACTTAAATCGATTCATGCAAACACTTATCTTAATATTTAAATGTATTTTTTTTAATTTACTATATTATTAAAATTACATTATAATTTATTAATTTATTCTTTTGAATTAGACTAAAAAAAAAATTAATGGAGATGCAAAGGAACCTTATAAGAATTCTCTCTCATCCATCTTCATCAGTTTACTTCTTTGATTACAGAATTGATTTGTGTAGCATCAGTCCATTATTTTTCCATCAAAGGGAGGACGAGCCCTGATGGAAGCGATAGTATGGCAAACGCCGGCGAACCCGCCAGAGCCGCTTGTTGCCTCCTAGATACACTTTACCAAAATCACATTGAGTATAATTCTTAAAAGTCTCCTTATTATGACTTACTTGAAAAGAAGCATTTGAATCTATAATACAAGATTTATAGTTGTATAGAAATAAAATTAGAGAATATGACTGATACTTTTCTACAGATACATTTGCAGAGTGATTTTTGTCTTGAACTCAACCATTAGTCTTCTTTGGAACTATACAGTTCTTCTTTAAGCAATCTTTCTTTCCATAGTTCTAGCACACAATTTTCCCTCTACCTGAAGTAGAACTTCCTCTCCTTGATTTAAATCTATCTTAACTAGGATTTCTCTCTAAACCTTTTCTATTGCTTCAACATTTAGAGGAGAATTTGAAGAGTTATTGTTAGCCTTCATGTGAACCTCTTCATTAAGCACTAATCCCACAATATCCTTTTAGTTCAGCTTTGAACTTCCTGAAGAGTTACTCACAATAGTAACAAGCTCATCCCAACTTTGTAGCAATAAAGATAACAATAACAACGCTCTCACCTCTTTGTCAAACTTGATGCCAACTGAACACAACTAACTAATCATAGTGTTCAGATTATTCAGATACTCAGCCATTGTAGTGTTGCCAACTATCTTTATATTGGATAACTTTTTCATCAAGAACACTTTGTTTGAGGTCTATGGCTTCTCATAAATCTTAGTTAGTGTGACCATGAGATCAACTACAATATTATCATTTACAATGTTAAATGCAAATAGATGAGAAAAGTTGAAGTTGAATCAAACATAGTGTAGCTCGATCAAAAATCTCACACTCCTCCATAGTCACAGAGTCCTAATTCTTGGTGATTCATTCCATCAATAAATACTACTTCTTTTGATACAATAAATCTTCAATTTGTATCCTCAAAAATGCAAAGTTTGAACCATTGAATTTCTCAATCTTGTATCTTGCTTTGTCAGCCATTACTCCCACTGGAACTAAAGAACCTCTCTTTGATACCAGTTGTTGGGGAAGGAAGTAAAACACCACAATGAAACAAAAAAGAAAATAGAAATGTAGTAAAAAAAAGGACACCAGGATTTAATGTGAAAAAACCCTAAATAGTGAAAAAACCATGGAGTCACGTACATCACACCAAGAAATTCACTATGAAAATTAAGAAAAATAAATACAAATCTCTCTTATATCTTGCTCTCTCTCCTTGCTTCTCTTCTCTCTTACATCATTCTCACACTCAAAATAGAAGAAAAAGTTAAGTTAATTCACCAAGGGATGCAACCCTTCAAAAAATGAGAAAGAAGACTGTTTAGTCTGCTTCTCAGCATTGTAATGCCAATTTAGAGTGCTGCAGTGCTCAAACCTCTTTCAACATGATGTTGCAACGCTTAAACCCTCAATCATGCAGCACCAAAATAAAAGTGCTACAACGCTATGCTCTCTGTAGTTTTTCCCAACAAAATTTGCAACATCGAGATGCTCGGGAACATAGCACCGGGGCGTTATACAAAAAAATAATTTTCAGTTTTACTCGAACCCAAGCCCCGTAAACCCCCGGCACCGCCCAATGAGCATGACAAATTGAACTGAGGTCTAAGGCAATAGTACAATCTGATTGATCAACATAATTAGATTCCACACATATTGATATCCTCCTTATTCTTACATTTTTTTTAATGATGTTGTCAAATGAAACTCATAAATGCACATAATATTTTTAATCACATGATAAATAATAAAAGAAATAATCTCTTAAATGAAATATTCTTTGGTGTATGCCATATTTTGATTTATGGCTTACATCTAAGTGATCTATAATGTTTACATTCATTCTCAATTATGTTATTCTTCTAATACAACATGGTTTCAAAAATCTCTCTTTTGTTTAGTTAAAAATCCAATTTACACACCATTTTTTTTCCTATAGTAATCATTTGGAATAAGATTATCAATTAGATTGATTTCCTATAACATCTCAATAAGCAATTAGAATATTCTTGAGTGATATTACAATCTATTTTAAGTTTTAGCATTATATATACAATATTTGATTCTAAGTGATTGGTTCAACCTTGCTAGAATAGTTGTTGAACTACACACAACATAAATTATTAGCCTTCATTATTAGGAGGCTCCTTAATAGGTTGTTCAACAAAGGTTGTCTCAAATTATGAGCAAGTGAAATCAAATATCATATCCTATTATACATGAGTTTATTAATCATTTAAGTATGTGTGATTAGTCAAAGCACCAATATGGACTTCAACATTCGTACACTATGATTCATACTCTCCTTATTATATCTAAAATTAATAATCAAGTTGAAAACGCCTTTGATGTATATAAATCTATTGTCACAATATTGAGCATTACAAATACTTAGTTATTATATTTTGGACAATGATAACTTATATTTTATTTGAGATAACTTTTTTACTCCTTCATAAAGCAGCTTTCTAGTATGAAAATTTCTTTTTAAAAATTTTTAATTAAAAAATTGCTTTTGAAAGCAATAAAAAAACTATTCCAAACAAGACATAAGTTTTTCTTTTGTAATGATTATTTTGATCTTAACACGTTACATATTTAAATAGTTTAATTTCATTAAGAAATCCACTTTTTAATATTTTTTATCCATTAAGAAGTTTATTGTACATTGAAGACCATTAAATTTTTAATGTCCATGCTTTATATAATTAAAAAATATCAAAAATTAATTTAACTAATGGTATGACTTCCATGTTAATATTAGCATTAATAAATCCTATTTAATTATGATTTGATCTTATGCACTTATCGATTCAAGCAAACTCTTATCTTAATATTCAATTTTTTTTTTTAATTTACTATATTACTAAAATTACATTATAATTTATTAATTTATTCTTTTGAATTAGACTAAAAAAAAAATTAATGGAGATGCAAAGGAACCTTATAAGAATTCTCTCTCATCCATCTTCATCAGTTTACTTCTTTGATTACAGAATTGATTTGTGTAGCATCAGCCCATTATCTTTCCATCAACAGGAGGACGAGCCCTGATGGCAGCGATCGTATGGCAAACGCCGGCGAACCCGCCAGAGCCGGAAGATTACATATTCTTCAAGGGTAAAGATATTATAACTTCCTAATTATGAGTTCAATAATTCACAGCGCCTTCTGAAATATGGTGGAATTTACCCCGCAGGCAAGCGTTATGTTCGTCCTTATTACTTCGAGTTCATCTCCCACGTAATGTTACCCCATTTGGGCTTTTATTACCGGACCTTTCATTCAATGTATTTGCAGAATTTTGGGTGTAGATTAGTATCGTTTATCTCATATCTATGATTTCTAGGTTAAGAATAGATGGGCGGGGAAGACGATTGTTGATCTTTTTACGGAGGAGTTCAGAGGAAGACCTTATGAGTATTATGTATGTCTCTTTTTTCTTATTTTCTCCTTTTATGTGGGAGGGCTTGTAGTATAATTTCACATTTGATTACATGCCATGTTCCTTAAATTCGAAAGGACTTCAATTTGTGAACAGAGAAGAGGTGGCAATGCATCTACCCCAAAAAAATTGGAACTTGGACATGTTAATATAGTACAGTGTGGCATAGTTACATGGTTGTCTGGTCTTGTCGAGAGAAATATTCCTTAACCTTTAATCAAATAGCATATTGAATAATGTATTTTCCTTAACATTCTTGTTGAGTGACTGGTTAGAAAGGATAACTATGTGAATATACGTTTTCTTCACAACATGTTTAACTAACCTGTCGTAAGAATTTCCACTAATATTAATCACTTAGTTCTCTTTGTAGGAGCGAAGTGATGAAGTTGTCTCTGTTTTTGTTTGTCTCCATTAGCTGTATTGTTGTTGAACTTGAGATAAGAGGGGAAGAGAAAAGAGAGGATGGAGCCTGGAGGGAAAAACAAAGGAATGCCATAGAATTAAAGAATGAGTATTACGTGAAGTTTGGCTTAAAGAAAAATCTTGAAAAAAATCAAACAAAAAAGAAGAGGGATGCTAAAATACACACACCCCAACGTGTGTTTATGAACATATGTAGTGGAGAGGCGTTAATCAATTTGCTCACAATCACAAATGTGGGGATGTTACCACTTCTCTCCTCCTCTTTCCTACTCTTAGGCTTGGCAATTGAAATTCAAATTTTATCAACCATAATCCTTTTGACATATCTTAGCTATATAGGCATCTTTAATCTATTCTGAATGAATATGTGTTAATCAATATGAGGATATAGTTAATTGAGCTAAGGACATATTCCTATTCACTCTTTGAGTCCAACTTCTATCTCTTCATCTCAAACACCAATTGCTAACTTGTGGATCCAACCACACGAGTGGTGAAATTAAATTTATGACCTAGATTCCCAGAGCATCAACTATGATATTTTCTAGTTGGGATTATACATAATCTATAAATTATGATCTTTAATTAATTCTAACAATCGTCAATGCCTATGAATCAAATATTGAGTAAAAAATTAATTTAAACTCAAATGATTCATAATTATGTTGTAGTTGGCATTATAAAGATAATGGCCTTAGATTTGAAGTGCAAAGATTACAATTTCTAGTTCCAAATCGTGAACATCATTATTCCTCTTATGTACTGTTGGTAGATGCATGTGCCACCACACTTTCATGTTGCATGAACTTAACCTAATCCTTGGAATGGCGCATCACTAAATAACTGAAACCCAACGTTTCCTTTGGGAATGGGCAGAATGGTGAAGGCAAGAAACAACCTGCCGTTGACATGGAAGAAAATCTGAATGCAAGCCAATTGGCCGATTGAATTTCTAATTAACCTGGGATATGTACATTGACAACAAATATTGAAGGTCTTGAAAGCATAAAAGATATATTTTTTGCATACCAACTCCATGGCCAAGGGTTGGTGACTAGTTGAAGAATCATAAAAGAGAAGAGGATGCCGTAAATGAGAGAACGATAAAAATACAAACAAGACCAGCAAAACAACAGATATTTTTGTGGACATTCCCAAATCTATGGCAATACCAACTCCAAGAGTTGGAAGCTCCACCTAGAATTATGGTCAAAAGCTGGAGGTTAAGCAAAGTAAATAATTGTGATATATGCAGAAGGGGTTTGTTTTACTCGGGTACGAAAAACAAAACCCACACTCACCTTGATGGCTCATAAGAAGCCATCTGGAAGGCAAAAGCTGTGATATTAATCAAACAAAAAGGCTAGACAGCCAATACAACAGTTAACCAGTCTCTGATAGCTTTCTTAGTTTCCGTTACAACTTTTCCAAGTGGTGGAATGGTTGTTTGTTATGCAAAAACAAGAAAGATCATCCATGAAAAAAACTTACAACACTCAAGTCAACAAAAACATCAAGATCAATCGGCTTAGACAATAAGAACAATTGTTGATACAGTTAGTGCAATAGAATGACAACTCTAGAAGTCATCCAAAACTAGGGGCAACAAAAGTTTGTTCTTATAGTTTGGGTCTAGTAGCAAGATGCGGTCAAGGAAGTGCTTTTCAAGTTAAATCTGTTTATATTTTTTTTTTTATCATTGACATTAAAAGTCAAAAGAATTTTATTTCAATTGATTTGGTCGACATATTGAAGTTGAAGATCACTCATCCAATCGCTTATTCCTTGGTGTCACGGCTCTAGATCTAATTGAAAGAATTGTTCTTATTTCTTCAATATTAATAATAATGAGTCATCTAAAATCATCAGACAATAAAAATTCATAAATATTTGCATCACCATTTTATTACATTCGTATCACCAAAAGACTACAACAACAACATCTAGCCTTTATCCCACTACGTAGGGTCGACTACATGAATCATTTTTCTCCTCTGGGTCATGTTAAGAGTCAAATTCTCATTTAAATATAATAAAGAAAGGTCATTTCTAATATTTTTTAACCAAGTCTTTTAGGTCTACCTCAATCATTCTTAACATAAGCCAAATCTAATACATTTACTCTCCTAACTGAGTCATCGAAAGTCCACTGTGACCAAACCATCTAAGGCGACTCTCTAATCTCATCTTTCAAAAATAATAACATAAACATGACTTTAACTTGGCATGATATCATAATGAAATACATCATGGAACATAAACATACAACATATTATTCATAATATATTTCATATTTCCTAAAGCCTCCTTATACTTCCATTTCCCCTTATACCTTCACTTGATATTTTTTTCGAATCCCCTTATAAATCCACTTTCAATTATACTGATAGGCATAGACCGGTCCAGGAGGGACCGGTCTAGTCGGCCCTTCCCTTGGGCTGGCTCAAGCAATATTGGAGGAAGAAGCTTGCTGTTCTGCAGGCTCCAAATCCCGTCCCCCTTGGGGTGGGGTCCACTACCTAAGGGAGATAGAATGAGGGCTTTTTTCCTTTTGTGTTATTTTTACGTTTGCTTTAAGTAGAAGTTTGTAGTAGGGTTAGGAGATGATGTTTATTTGCTGAATTGGGTTGGTTCTGGGCGTCTTAGGCCCTAGCGGAGTCTAGAGAGTTGGGAGAGATCGATCCTCCTCTCAAATTGAGGATCTACAGTATCTTGGTATTTTCCTTCCGTTTCTCTTTGATTATCACAATAATATTGCTATTTTTCCTGGTTTGGTTAGGTTTTTTTTGTGTAGAAATATCGCTGGAATTTTAAAATTGATAGGTTCCACTTGAGTTCTTCAAGTGTTTCCTATCAAATTGGCATCATAGCAGTTTTTTGGGCTGTTTTTGGTGGTTTCATGCAGCAGATTTTTATTCTGAACCGTGGTTTTTTGCTATTTTTGGGGTCGAAATCCAAATTTTTGAGTCTAACAAAGATCCGGATAGTGATGGCAGCCAAGAATGTGGATGCTTTGGAAGAATGACTTGAGGGGGAGATGTGTCAAATAAAAGCGACGATGGAGGATATAATTTCCTCCATGGCAGGTAAATTGTCTGGTATTTAGGAGATGGTGAAGAAGATATGAGATCATCAAAACCAAACAGTGGTATCGGAGGCAAGAGCACCGGTGGGGAAAAATACGAATTCTGAAATTCTTAGGGATGAAAATGATGTGGAGATCGTAGAAGGAGAAGGGAGAAGACCCCATTTAGAACCTTTTCAGCGGGAGGAGATAGGGGGAAGGTTTGGGGAAAGGCGTGTATATGTGGGGTATGAGCAAAGGGGTGCTGATTGGGAAGAAGGAAGGGGGATTATGGCTGGAGGTGCTAATTTTGATGAAAGAAGCGGTGAAATGGAAGAAGGGTTTGGGTATGAATGTTGAAGGGAGAATAAGGACACTTAGGGAGGGCCATCCACTTGGGGAAGGGAAAATTATAGAGGAATTAGGGGAAATAAGGGAGGTCTGAAGATATGAAAATTGAAGATGCCATCTTTGAAGGGAAGGATGCACATGGGTGGATTTACAAGGTAGAGAGATACTTCGCCGTCAATGGATTGACAGAGGAGAAGAAATTGATAGCAGCTGGCCTATATTTGGAAGGGAAGACATTGGCTTGGTACCAGTGGATACACATGAGGAGGCCCATATAGAGTTGGGGGGAGTTCAAAGAATGCTTATTGGAACGTTTTCAAGCCAGCAGGGGAGGAGACTTCTATGAGCAGTTATTTTCCCTAGTACAGGAAGGCTCGGTAGCAAAATACCGTGAGATATTTGAGTACCTGGCGAGTCGACTAGAGTGGGTATATGAGATTGTTCTGGAGGAAGGAACAATCTCATAAAGGGGCACAAATCAGAGATCCAGGCAGCAGTTAGAGTCATGAGACCTCGTGACTTGAGAGAGGCTATGGAGCTAGCTTAACTGGTGGAAGATCAAAAGTACAAACTACAAAGAGAGGGGAGCCAGAGGCAGCGGTTCAAGTGGCTCGTATAGGATGACTATTACTCTCTTAGCACCTAAGGGGCCTACATCGGGCAACCTTCGTGAGACCCTAAGGGGGAAGCCTGTAGGAGGAAGTGGGAGGAACTTCAAAAGGCTGACTTAGAGAGAGATGCACGAGAAGAGGGCGAAGAGATTATGCTTCCAATGTAATGAGAATTATACTCCAGGACAAAAGTGTAGGGACCAAACTCTTCAGGTTCTCACCGTCTGCAATGATGAGGAAACTAAGGAGGGAGTGAGACAGGGGTAGAGGAGGAAGACTAACTGCATCTTGACATGGCAGAGGTATTCTTGAACTCAATGGTAGGATTTACTCTGATTCATACCATGAAGGTGAAGGTGGAAATAGTAGACAAGGAGGTGGTGGTGTTGATTGACAGTGGGGCTACCAACAATTTCATCTCCAATCAGGTCGTGGACCAATTGGGGGTGACATTGGTGGAGACAGGGTGCTATGGAGTGATGATGGGTACAGGGAAGGTGGAGATGGGCTGAAGCATCTGTAGGGGAGAA